CATCACTACACTGGATTTCAAACGGTACACTGTGCATAAAGGGAATCAGACATCCATGGATGGTTGAAATCTGTGTTGATAAGAGAAACTAAACACTGTTTGAAGAGCAAAATAAATGGTTTAAACAAATCTGTGTAGTTTATGCTTTTGTTGTACAATATATTAAGCAATGCATTGAATAGTGCCAGATGTAGTGACTCACATTTCATTAAGACTCGTGCAAATATTGCCTTTTAAAGTTTATTTTTGTTTAACCCACTTTGCAATGCCTGAACTAATTGTTTTCAGAGTTTGACTATTTAATAACTGCTGCTCACATTTACACACAGCCTAATATAAATATGTACTTAACATAGCAGGGAGAGCCGTCGTCATCCCGCTAGTTTTGTCACAGTTGTCCCTTAACTTCTACTTTAATGTAATTGCTTATGGCAGTGAACACAACTTCAGAATTCCAAACAGATCTGCCATTTGTATTCCTGTCCTCAGATTCTTTTGATCCTGGCTTCACATGCACTTGCTTCAATCTTCTGCCATGACCACTCAGTACCAACTGTACACTTAAACTAATAGTTCTAAATTCCATCCATTTGCTTCCGCTTATCCTTTTCAGGGTCGCGTGGGGCGCTGGAGCCTATCCCAGCAGTCATGGGGCGAAAGGCGGGGTACACCCTGGACAGGTCGCCAGTCTGTCGCAGGGCTAACACATAGGGACAGACAACCATTCACACTCACATTCACTCGCACATTCACACCTAGTGGCAATTTGGATTATCCAATTAACCTATCCCCACAAGCTGCATGTCTTTGGACGGTGGGAGGAAGCCGGATCAGGAGCAGATCTGTGCTTCTGTGTTCAGCCAGGGTTTAGTTTGCCATCCTACAGGGGGGTGGGGACTGAAACTTCAGCTTAAGTCCATATTCTAGTTTACTCATGTTGTCACATGTTGGAGAAAACTTGTCAATTGCCCTTTGACCCTCTTTAACTCAGGACACATTGGGAATGTCCTGAAACACTTGCTGGCTTGCATGCACTGCAAGAATGAAGTGTGATAACAGGACAGCATACTGCATTTGGGATGGGTGTGGTGTGTTTTGGTTTTCTTCATAAATAGTATGCTATGTAGTCTGGATATTCTGAGGCACGTTGGAAATTAAAAATATAGTTCAACAGTTTTAGGATTACCTAAAGAGTTTTGCATTACGGAATTTTTGTCATATTCTGCAAGTACATGTAAAAAGTGCTGATTTCACAATACCACCACAGGTGAGCAGTATTCCCCGAGGCAGTAAGACCATGTACATCTTGTCCTTTGGACAGAAACTTGACTATAATAATGGAAGTACATGTAATTCCCAGATTGTAAACAGTCTCATATAAAATGCTTGCGTAACCGTGCTGGGTAAACCTGACCTC